CCATATGCCAAGAGTGCTGAAGCTGAGAAATCTTCTATAGGGCAATGGAAGAGAGGAACTCCTGTGGTATAAAACAAGGATGAGCTTCACAAACATAATGTTGAGTGAAGGAAGTCAGTTAGAAAAGACTACATGAAATTATATCAAGTACAGAAACAGGCAAAACTATTCTGGGGTGATAAAAGTCAGAATTGTGCTTAACCTTGGGTTGGCCACAATGAAGGAAACTTATGGGATATTAGTAATGTTCTCCTTTTTGATCTGGTGGGAGTTACAGGGATCTATATGTTGGAAGAATACATCTGAAATAAGTCTCATCTTGTGTGTGTGTGTGTATGTGTATTTTGTCTTATTATTGATATCATTGTTTATCTCCTGACTCAGAAATATGACTTTAGACAGGTCTGCTGTTTTTATGACTGTAGACTCTGAAATCTATGGAATTGGAAACAACACGCTTACAGTTTGCAAGATAGAAACAAATATCTGATCTTCTCAAATGTACTTTCTTTACTCATTTTTTCTAAATCTGATGATGCTTAACTTTTACTGTTGCTGTTTAGGTCTATGGACATATTACATGGCAAGATGAATAATAGCTGCTATTAAGATGTTTATTATTCTCATGCAGATGATCACATTGTGTACTTTTTCTTGGAGGACAGAGTATAGTTACTCTTTCTTTACACGACCTTTTGAAGTCAGTCGTATGAACTGCAGTAAACAGAATTGGGACTGTCTTCATTTGGCAAGGACTCTAATGGTTTCTGTTTTCTGAATTGAAAGGTGAATAGATACAAGCAAGGAAGGGTTTCAGTGTCTTTATTTTTTCCAAACAGTACTGTGGTTAACTCATCTACCACCATCTAAAGCAAACAGAGGGTACTAGCATTCCTAACACATCCTTGGTTCTTTAGCCACAGATGTACTAGTTTAATCACAGATGTACTAGATTAACTTGGTTTCTAAAAGAAACTGTTCCTCTCCAATTAGAACACCGATGACACTAAATGTGTAGGTTTTTCTGTACCAGCAACCACTTCTCCAACTCTTCATACACTGCCTGGATATCCTACAATTCAAATCAAATCAATTTGACACTGTGTACCTGGCATTAGTATCAGAACCCACAGGGTAAAGGCCCAGTTCAGATGTGGTTTGAAGTAGTGGGGTTTGGAGTCAATGGCCAAGAAGGAATTCTTGAGATGTTTTTGGTGCAAAAAGGTGGTTTTATTAAAGCACTGGGATAGGACGCTTGGGCAGAAAGAGCTACACTGGGGTCATGACAGGTGACAGATTATATACTTTTAAGTTGAGAGTTGGTCAGGAACAGCACAAGCCGCCAAGGTATTTTGGAAACAAGGTTTTCAGGACCTTGCAGGAGCTAACTCTTGCTAGGAAAAAATCATTTATTACTGTTTAATAAGGCCTCTGTCATGAGATCCTTCAGATATATATCAGTGGGTTATATGCTTGGAGGTTGATTGCTAACATATATCTTGGGGGGTAGAGATAAAGGAAGTTTCCAAAGTAATCTTTATATGTTAAAGCAGACTTATCGGATCCTGGAGAATAAGGATAATATTAAGCTATTGCATTTTACCCTTGCATAGTGTTAGTGTGGAGGCAGCCGAGTTCCTAGAGAAATGTCACTGTCTGTTTCAAGGACTTGTCAATGGGCTGGAAGTAGTAAGGAAATGTAATTTTTCTTTTGCCTTTGTGTCCCACACCAAATCCCATTTTATACATCAATGATGAGTCCAGGCCTGTGGTACTTCTGACCAACTTGACTACAATTTGAGGGTTCCCATACCCCTCCTTGGGTTTGATAATTTGCTAGAATGGTTTACAGAACTCAGGGAAATATCTTTGTTTACTGGCTTGTCAAAATGGATACAAATAAAAAGCTCCAGAAGAAGAGTCACAGAGGACAAGGTATAAAGGAACATGCATCTTCCATACCTTCTCAGGTCACACTACTATCCCAGGATCTCCCATGTGTCACCAACCCAGAAGCTCCCCAGGGAGCTTAGGGTTTTTATGGGGCTTTATTACATAGATATGATTAGTAATTAAGTCAATCTACAACCTTTCACATCTTGCTGTACCTTGGGGAGAGGTGCTGATAATTCTAACTCTATAATCATATGTCTAGTTCCCCTGGTAACCAGCCTTCTTCTTCCTAGACTCACTCATTAGCATAAACTCCAGTGTCATTGAAAGAGGCTTATTATGAATAACAAACAACACTCCTCTCATTCCAATCTCTCAGGAAATTCCAAAAGTTTTAGAAGTTTTAGAAGCTTTAGTGTCAGGAATCTTGGGACAGTGAGTGACCTAATGTGTATTTCTTATATCACATCTCAGTTCCCAAGGTGAATACAATGATTTGTTTTCATTTGTGTTTTCTAAGACCTAGGATCACTGCAAATATCTGTGCAGTGAAGTATTTTTGGCTAACAGAAATTTGTATTATTACATGCAAGTCTCTTCTTCTCCATAAAGATAGTTAAAGATGAGAATGCATAAGGTCATGTCACACTTATTACTCCGTATCCATTTAAAACATTCCAAAGTAGTCTTTCATGTCTGTTTTGAAGACTAGAGAACTGTGGTACATCTCTTTTAAATGATGAGGCCATGACAAGCAATGATAAGTAACAAAAAGGCACTGAAATAAAATACTTTATAAACTGACAACTGCAGGCTTCTTCACCGCAAACTAACATAAAAACCAAAGTAATGAAACAATTGTAAACTGGAATTTCATTGGTACCTTGATAAAATTTAATAATCAGCTGTGTCTCACAGTGTCCTAAATGCTGAATTTCTGGAATTTATATGTAATCCTAATCATTCAATAATTTGTCATTACTGTTTTAATTAAAGTTCAAGTCTGCTTCTTGTTACATTAAATTATCCCTAGGAATAATAGCACTGTTGAAAAACCCTACAATATGAATATACTTGATTTTTTTAATGGACAAGCTGATTAAAACCCTTAATTGAAGCTCAGAGTATTTGCAATTAATTGGAGATCCTTGAAGCCCTGGTCAAAACACTTCCTAAAGTCATACACAAAAAAATGTTACACATTTTTGCAACATGCTCAAGTCACTAGAGAGCAAATTTGGAAAGCGTCAAAATGAAAAAAGAATGTATCTATGTGGGAATTAAGAAAACAACTATGATTTCAAAACATCAAAAGTATATGTAGTTTTATTAGTTAAGAAGGAATATTTGTATAGAGAAAATTCCCTGATGGTGACTAATTCAAATACAGTGTTTATAAATAAGCATAAAAAGATCTCAACAACAACTTTATAGATTTCTCCTCTTTTATATTAGATATTGGACATTTGTTCCTTTTCTTTGTTCCTTTATCAAACTTGATAGAATTTTGTTAGTTTTCTTAGTTTTTCTCAGTAGCAAAATTCTGGTATGGCTTATCATCTCTATGGTACTTTTTTGTTGTTGCTGTTCATTTCTGCTCTTATGGCAGTTAAACTTCTTCCAGAAGATTTGATTTATTTTGTTTTAATTTTTAATTATATTTAATTAATTTTCTAAGATAGATGGCCTGCTCAACCATATTTTAACTTTCATTTTTCCTAACATGTAGATTTGTAGGCTATAAATTTCTCTAAAAGGACTGCTTTAGCAGCACCCTAGGTTTTATATGTGACATTTTCATCACTGTTCAAAGTTTCTACTTTTAAACCTTTCTTTCTTCTCTTCTCTTTTCTTTTTCTTTCTTTCTTTCTTTTTTTTTAGATTTTATTTATTTATTTGAGAGAGTGAGAGAGCATGTGCATAAAAGCAGAGGGGTGGTAGGCGGAGGGAGAGAGAGAAGCAGATGCCCCACTGAGCAGGGAGCCTGATGCAGGTCTTGATCCTCAAACCCTGGGATCATGACCTGAGCCAAAGGTAGATGCCTAATGGACTGAGCCAAGCAGGTGCCCTTACTTTCAAACATTTCTACCTCTTTTATCTATTTAGAAATGTATTTTTCAATTTTCAAATGCGAGGTTCTTCTAGTTGTTCTTCTAATATTAGTAATTCCCAGTTAGTATGCATTGTTTTACATGGTGTTGTATTTTCAGATTTCTTGAAACCTGCTATCTGAGTACAGGTAAATTCAATGTGAAAGTTCCAAGTATACTTTGAGGTAATGCTTATTCTACTTCTCTGGGTTTAGATCCCTACATTAATATAATAAGTCACATTGGTTAGTCATTTTTTCAAATATTTTCTAACTTTATTGATATGTTTGGTCTGCTTTTTTTTCTGAAGTACTGAAAAATGTGTTAAAAATCTCTCATGCCCGTACTGTGGGCATTAAGGGGACACAAAATCCTGTAACAATAGGAGACTCGAACTGGAGGCATAGTGAATCAGTCCTTTTCTTAGGAAGAACATTGTGGCAAGTCTCAATTAGCGCATCCTCACAGCCCTATTTTCTAGGAATTGCCATTCTAACTCATTCTGCCCACTTTGTATTGGGATCTTCTTCTTCTTCTTTTTTTTTTTTTTTTAAAGATTTTATTTATTTATTTGACAGGCAGAGATCACAAGTAGGCAGAGAGGCAGGCAGAGAGAGAGGGGGAAGCAGGCTTCCTGCTGAGCAGAGAGCCCAATGTGAGGCTCAATCCCAGGACCCTGGGATCATGACCTGAGTCGAAGGTAGAGGCTTTAGCCCACTGAACCACCCAGGTGACCTGTATTGGGATCTTAAAACTGATGTGATTTGATGTGGGATTCAGGAGTGAATGGTCAATAAAGAATTCTTAAGACATTTTTGGTGCAAAAAAAAATGGTTTTATTAAAGTATGGGGATAGGACCCATGGGCAGAAAGAGCTGTACTAGGAATGTGAAGAGTGATTGATTATATAATTTTAAGTTGGGAGGGGTAGAGACAAAGGAGGTTTTCAAAAGGATTTTAAATATGTTAAAGAAGACTTACTGTGGCAGGAATTCTTTAGTGACCACAATTTTTAGTGACCACAATTCTTGGTCATGCCACTATGAAGAATGAAGAGGTAACCAGAGGAAGAATGGTGGACAGTGAAGCAAAGTTTATTGAGCAAGAGTACAAAGCTCCTGGAGAGGGAGGGGATCTGAGTTTCTAAGTTTGGGGGCTTTATGAGCGCATCTGCAGAACCCTTTTAAGCCATCAAGGTGTGCTGGTCGTGCCAATCAGGATTTTGGTCATGTATCTGGGCACCTATAGGTTAATGTGTATGTGATGATGGTCTTTTTTTGGTTGACATCTGGGGGCTATGCTTTGTGGTTCATTGTTTTATTTTAGGATGTTTTGCAGAAGTCATTTCTGCAAAGGCTGCAAAAACAGAATGTCAGTATAGCCCTGTCTAAGCTACAAAACAGGATGCTAGTGCTGTTTTATTTTAGCTGTCCTGACTGTTTTCATGTTGGGGATCTGGGTCCTGACCACATAACTGCAACTAACTCCTAACATTACAGGATCCTGGAGGCCTGACTATTGTCAAGCTAAGGCTGCGTTTTTCCACTAGCAAAGCATTGCATTAAGACCGTTAGGAGTTCCTGGAGGTCTCAAGTGTTTGTCAGTGGGCTGCAAGTTATAAGGAAATTTAATTTTATCCACATTTCCTTTTGCCTTTGTTCTCTGTATCAAAAACTGCACCCTTTGTTTTAACAAGACTCCTTTGAAGCATCTGCCCTAATGAGGATATAGAAAGTGGGAAACTTTATTCAATCAACATTTTCCAGTTATTGATCAAGTGCTGGACATGGAAATGGGAGCTAAGATTACAATGGTAAAGATCAACTGGTCCTTGGTGGTGAGGCATCGTCAGAAAGACAGAGTAAATGGGTAATTTAAATTTTCAAAATCATGCTGCAGGTGCAATAAGAGTGCAAAGGAGAGCCACCCTACTCAGTATGGGGGTTCAGGAAATCCAAGACTTCAAGGAAAATCCAGTCTGCAAAATAAAGGTGAAGATCAGTAAGAGAGGTTGTTTGAAGAAGTCCAAATACTGTACGCAGGTATCTAGAAAAAAGGGGTAACCTGTCAAGCTTGTGCAACTGGAAGTAGTTCATTATACCAATAGCATAGCGTGCAAATATTAGTCAGCTGAAAGGGAAGTCCCAAAAACACCAAAGATACACTGAAGTCCCACTCTCTAACTAACACCTCAACCTGTAAATTGCAGCTGGAAAGTAAAAGATACCAGTTGGAATTTCAGAATCACATCATACTTTTTATCTTATTTTTCAAAGAATTGGAGGAAGTATAAGTCAACTCCATAATACAAACAGGATTAGAATATATGTGTTTTTTTTCCCCAGTATCAGACCTCACCATCAGACCTCTCTTTTGAACTGACTGACGCTTTCCTAAGAATGCAAAATTCCCTGTTACCACCACCATCATCACCATAACCATCACCCTTGTTTTTTCCTTTCTTATCCTCCTGAACAAGAATTGCATACTCCTTATAAAATTTCCAAACATACAAAGTTTTATACAAAATAAAACAAGTATTCCTCTCACTCCTGATCTCAGAAACCTAGCTTCCCCTAGAAGGAACCAACATTGCCAGTTCATCATGTTCTATCAGAGATCATCTAAGTGTATACATACAAGTATATGTAAGTGCCAATTTTTGGCAAAAATAGTGCACTATTCCTATTGGTTTGCACTCTACTTTTCCCACATTACAGTATATCTAGTAAATTGTTCTGTGTCATTACAAATAGTGCTCTGTTTCTCAATTTTCTGGCTATATGATATTCCATTGTGTAAGGGTGCTAAAACTTATATTACCACTCCCATATAGATGGATGTATAAGTAGGTCCAGTCTTGAAAGTTACAATCAGGGCTGCGGTGGACATCTTATAAATACATAATTTTTCTGACTGTGTGTATGAGAGAGAGGGTGCATATATGCCTTAAAAACTGAATCTGTTGGGGGGCGCCTGGTTGGCTCAGTGGGTTAAGGCCTCTGCCTTCGGCTCAGGTAGTAATCCCAGGGTTCTGGGATCGAGCCCCATATCAGGCTCCCTGCTCAGCGGGGAGCCTGCTTCCTCCTCTTTCTATGCCTGCCTCTCTGCCTACTTGCGATCTCTATCTGTCAAATAAATAAATAAAATCTTAAAAAAAAAAACCTGAATCTGTGGGGCCAAATGGACATCGGTTAAAACTTCAGAAGTCTTAGACACAGTTTGCAATATTAAACAATTTGGGCTCCCACGCAAGGACATGTTTTCTGAAACACTGGAAACACAGTTTGATAGCATATGAGGTGAGACACTACATCTCATAGTTTTAGTTTCATTTCACTTATTTTGAGTTACTTGAACATCTTTTCTATAAGCTATCTACTCAGAGTTTGCCTATTTTTATTGACTGGTGGCTCTTAATGATATACAACTTATAAAATCAGCTCTTTCCTCTGATATAAATCAAGGCTGTCTTCAGAACATTTTTGGCTTCTGAATTTCTTTAGGTTCTTTTTCACCACAACAAATTTATTTTTTATGTAGTTTTGTCAGTACTTTTATGGCTTCAGGTTTTATGGCATTTAAAAATAAATTTGATGTTCCAAGACAATTTTATAAATTATTTGACATTTACTGATTTTATGTAGTTTTCTAATGTTCACTCTGAGGTCAAGCTGAAATTTACTTCATGCAAAATTTACAATAGTTCTAATCACGCTTTCATTCTGCACTGCTGTCCGGTTATTTGAAAACAGGCATTGTATATAGTTCATTCTTTCCCACTAATTTGAAGTAATGCTTTTTACATGCACGTAATTCCTATATGTGGTGGGGTTCTATTTTTAGACTACACAATGTGTCCTACTGTTATGCCTTTATGCTCAGTGGACACACTGTGCTAATTACCACAGTTCTATAAATTTTATCGTACCTCTTCTGAATTGCCTTGACATTTTTACTATTTTTTTGATCAGCTCCATTTAAATTTTACAATTAGCCTTTCTGAAATTTTAATTCAGAACACACGCGATTTATAAGTGAACTGAGAGAGAACTGATCTGCCTATGGAACCAGCCTGTTCTACTCAAGAACACAGTATGGGTAGCCATTTGTGTAGTGATTCATGTGTGACTTTCAGAAGCATTTTTTGATAAATATAGTCTAATATGTTTCTTTTTCAGGATATTACAGATTTGACCTTCTCTTTGTCTTCAAATCTGTTATTTCCATGTCCATGGAATATGAGTGAATTAACTATCCAACCACATTGACTATATCTTTTGTTTGCTAAGCATTGATGCCCTGTAGTAGGTATTTTGTATTTTTCTATTAAAATTTTGCTAAAAAACAGAAAAGGTACATATATGTAAAAATAAGCCATATCAAAAAGCTGTTATGAAAACTTGTAAAAATTACCTGAAATTATCCACTAGAGAAAAACTTGGCAAGTAGTAAAGTCAACTCTTGTATCAGGTCACAAATTTTAGACCACCATGAGTGCTCTGACCTGTTTTCTTCCTTATCATTTGCCGTTATCTCTGAAGTGCAGTAATTGTTTTGCTTCTTTTCAGTCAGCACTTCAATTTGGGCCTAAAAAGCATGTGATTTAGTCATAAAAGGAAAGCACTCAAAAACTCCAAACTTTCAGGAATAATTATATTCCTGTCTTATCTTAATAATTTACAAAATTATCTGCATTTTCCTTTTTTAGTGTAGTCTCTCTTATTAGATCAATTACAACAGGGACATCTGGTTTAGGGCTGAGAAATGAAAAGAAGCATAGTATAACCTTGTTTATAGTCATCCATCACTAGGGTTTTACAAGGTGCAAAACAGGCATAAGGACAATTGTTGTGAGATATTCTAGCTAAAATTATGCTGTTTAGGAGAGAGCCTTTGACCAGAATGTCACAAATGCTCACCCACATCTTAGAAATAATGTGACCTTCTAAGCTGGTTTAGAAATCTGACACAAACACTTCCAGATAGGAGAAGAGAGAATAATTCCCTCTGTGCTGTGTGCTGACTTGGGCAGGCCATCCTCACCTGGAGATAGCCCTAGGTTAGGAGCTGTCGGTCCCCCAAAGTCTGTACATAGCTGATAGTTTTAGGTCAGCAAGGATCTATCTTAGTGTCACTGGTTGAGTAGGGTGCCTGAAAACCGGCAGTAATCTTGGGAAAGTGAACCAATTGCTGCTTCTATTCCATACACCCAGTTAGGACATCTATGCGATAAACCTGGGGACCCCATTTAATATTGCTCCGTGAGCTCATCCAGGAATCCCCCAGAACAGCAGCATCTTCTGTAAATGCTTGGAGCTACCAAGTTCTTACTGGATTCTCTGGAAACTCAGTGTGAACCCAATTCAAGTGCCTGGACACAAGCCATGACAAGTTTAGGGCGTGTAGTGAAGCAGATGCTATAAATGACAGTGGTGCTTCTCTCTCTGACTTCTCTGTGACTTTCACCGCTCCCTTCCTGGGGCTTCCGGGCTTTGTTCTGCAGTCCCTGCCGGGTCCCAGGCCAGGCTTACCTCAAGCCTCTGAATCTTCTCATCCCGCTTTCTCAGAAGGTTTTCCGTCTCAGTCATCATCTCTGCTTTCAGTTGGATTATGGATTTATTGAACATTATTTCTAGAAGCTTTATCTTTTGCTGCATCTCTTTACACCTTTCCTCAAGAAGCTGCTTTTCCCTCTCTGCTGTCTCTCTTTTGGCCTGCTCCTCTGCTCCAGGAAGATTTTCATTCCGAGAGGAAAGATGACAGAGGTTAAGCCTGAGAGCTACAGCCCCCTGTCCCACAACACCCCACTCTCTCAGACACCAAACTGTCTTTAAAGTGCAGAGGGGAATGTCCGAAATCGCCTGGTGACCACACCTGGAGGGCAGGTTGGAGAAGGTGGTGGGAAAGACCCTGACTGCCTGGCTTTTGAGCAACCACACCCTGCCTTGTTATTTTCAGAATTGAGGAGCGTGCATTCCACAGAAGGCGAGGAAACGCCTTCCTTCAGGAAGATCTTCCTGTTGGGCAGTGCTCCAAGGGCACGCGGGAGCCTCCCTCCCCATCATGAGCTAAGCTCTCCCCATACCTGCTAAGGCTCTTTGCATATCACGGAGAAGCTCATCTTTCTTCTTAGAGCTTTCCTCTAGTTCTATCTTCATCTGTAGCAATTCCTGGGGACCACAAATGGCAAAGACATGTCAGGTAGGTCAAACCTGAACTTCCATTGAAATATTCTGAGAAAAAAACCAAGTAACATTCCTTATTTGCTTCTCCAACGAATAGAATGTTCTAAGATCCTGGTTATCTCACTAACCCCTCCAGCCTCCAGAAGAATGTGCAGTTTTATAAACACAGTCTTGGGTGCTTTCCTTCTCCTCCAAACTCAGATACCTTATCTGAAGCAAAGTCAGTAGACACTCCTTGACTGAATGCTGGCAGTTTTTGGTTTTCAGAATCCTGCTCTTTTTTTTCTGTTTGGGCTTCTCTAGTAACCTCCCACCCCGGATAATGTGTACAAGTCTTTTGAAATTTATGTCACACTCCTCTTCCATAAGATTTCCTAGACCACCTAACCCATATAAAAGAAGCCATTGTATATTTACATTTGTTTACTTTTGTCAATAAATGCATGAAATTTATGGTATGTAAATTACTGTTTTTTTAACTTAAATTCAATTAGCCAACATATAGTACCTCATTAGTTTTTGATGTAGTGTTCAATGATTCATTAGTTGCACATAACACTCATTGAATTACTGTTAAAAGAAACTTGAGTTACTATCATCTCAGAGAGAAATACTCCATTAAGACCATTGGTAAGTTTCTGAACTCCCTGAGCCTTCCTTGTGACATGTTGAGTCTGCATTATATAATCTCGATGGCTCCTTGCAGCTGTAATATCCTGTGACCTACAAGGCACGGTTAACAGTAATACAATAGGAAGCAAAATAAAAATAAAGAATGATCTGGTAACAGAATCTTCTCAGAGAAACTTGGGTTGCTGTAAATGGGAGAGAGTACACAGAAAAAGCAGCAAGCTCAAAATAACGTAAGCGTGTTCCAAGCACATAGGGAAACTGCCAATATTCAGTCAAGGAGGCCATCCGTGTGTCTATACTGACTTGACTTTGGACCAAGTGTCTGAGTTTGGAGGAGAAGGAGATAAAATAGAGTAATAGTGTCCTTTATAACTCTCTCACTCAGAATAATCAGAATCCTTCCACCATGAAGGCTAGCTAATTTATGGCTAGTCAGTTAGCTTCTAGGTAGAGGGGGTAACATGGAGAATCAAGTATTAAGACCAAGTACCAGGTACTGGTTTTGTAGCTCGTTATCCTGGGAGGGCTGCAATGTGGGGGCTGCCTCCCCATCCAGGTGCGGGAGTGCCAGGACCATTTCTGTGGGAATCACTGAGTTCTCACACTAGGACAGGGGTATCACCACGTTGTCCAGACAAGGAACTGCTCCACTGTGGAAGGCATCCGTAAAGGTCACCGTCAGAATCCCCAACCCTGAATGAGGCAAGAAATTGAGGGGACCAGTGAGATCCAAAATCAGAAACTATAATTCTAAAATGATTTTTAAAGACCCTAATCAGATTGAAACTTTTCATCAGTCACTCTCATCCTACTAAATCAGTTTTCTTTCCGATCACTGCAGTTAAAAATGCTAAATATCTTCCTTAAGTTATCATGCTCTGGTGTCTTTTGGATATCTTTGATATCTCCCCCAACGAAGCATATTAAGAACTTTGAAAATCATACAACTCAATAACAACAACAAAAACAATTGATTAGAAAATCAGTAGAGGAACTAAACAGACATTTTCCCGAAGAGGACACCAAATGACCAACAGTCCATGCAAAGATATTTAACATCACTAATCATCAAAGAAATCAGGGATATCTTAAAATGGGAGATCACCTCATACCTGTTCAAATGGCTATTATCAAGAAGAAAAGAGGTAATTATTAGCAAGGATGTGGAGATAGAACCCTTGTATACGGTTGATAGGAATATACATTGTAAATTGGTCCAGCTACCATGGAAAACAGTATGGAGGCTGCATAAAATCAAAAATAGAACTACCATATAATCCAGCAATCCCACTTGGGGGTATTTATCCAAAAGAATTGGAATCAGGATCTCAAGGAGATATCTGCACTCTCGTGTTATTGCCACATAACTGACAATAGGAAACAACTCAAGTGTCCATCAATAGATGAATGGATAAAGAAGTTGTGTACATATATACAATGGAATATTGTTCAGCATGAGAAATAAGGAAATACTGCTTTTTGTGACAATATGTATGAACCTCGAGGGCATAATGTCAAGTGCGATAAGTCAAATACTATATGATATTACTTATATGTGGAATATAAAAAAGAAAACACTGGGGGCACCTGGGTGGCTCAGTTGGTTAAGCATCTGCCTTTGGCTTAGGTCATGATCCCAGGGTCCTGGGATTGAGTCCCACATCTGGCTCTTTGCTCAGCAGGGAGACTGCTCCTTCCTCTGCCTGCCATTCTCTCTCTATCTCTCTCTCCCCCCTCTCCCTCTCTCCAACAAATAAATAAATAAAGTCTTTTAAAAAAAATGAACTCCATAAAAACAGTAGAATGGTGGTTATGGGGGGCTAGGAGTTGGGGAATTTGAAGGTTAGTGGTTTATAAGGGTATAAGCTTGCAACCAGTAAATAAATAAGGCTGGAGGTGCGTGGCATAATGATAAAGACAACAATGCCACATTATAAACTTCAAAATTGTTAAGAGACTAGATCTTATTAAACTAGATCTTATTGTCAACACATACACACACATACACACAAATATGATAATTAAGTGACATGATAGAGATGTTAGCTGAGGCTAAGGTGGTAATCATATTGTCATATGTAAATGTACCAAAGCAACATGTTTTACACCCTAAAACTTACATGGTGTTCTATCAATAAAAATAAAAATAGATAAGAGGTGAATAATTGAGGCAGGTAAATGAGATTATATTTATTCCTATTAAAATTCCACCTATTGGAGGCGTGGGTGACTCAGCTGGTTCAGCATCTGACTCTTGGTTTTGGCTCAGGTCATGATTGCAGGGTTGTGGGATCAAGCCCTCATGTCAGGCTCTGCAGTGGTCATGGAGCCTGCTTAAGATTCTCTCCTTTCTTCTCCCTCTAACCCACCCCACTTGTGCATGCACCCTCTTTCTCTCAAAAAAAAATTTAAAAAAAAAAAGTTCAACATACTTTAAGGAACCAATTGTTTGAAATTTTGTTTTCTCTGGTATATATATATATATATATATATATATATATATGATCTCTCATATATATATATATATATATATATATATATATATATATATATGCTTTGAGAGGAGTGTTTATCATACAGGATGTTTCCTCAGATGCAGTGGAAACTTGCAAGCCCAGAAGAGTGAGTCTCACAGTAAAATAAGACCGCAAAGTCATTCTCTTGCCTCAGAGTTATTCAAAGGATGCATACGTTAGCACTTCTGTACTTCTTCATGGCCCAGAATACAGACTGCTGCCTTCATTATTCTCCAAATTCCTGATGAAGCTAGCGCTGAAACCCTGGGTATCACCAGTCTGCAATGTTTTGCCCTCATTGATATTTACAAGAACCTGCAAAGTAGGCTTATGAAACCCACTTTGCAAATGAGCTCAGTGGGGCTCAAAAAGTCTAAGGAAGGTATTTTTCCAAAGCACATGTGAATAAATGGTAGATCCATGATCGGAAACCTGGAAGGTCTGTTTTACTATTTCATGTTTCGCACTTAATTACCCGACAAGACAATTTTCCTCAAAAACGTTGGTTATGCATGCTTGATGACCATAACCTCTAGAGGATTTCTATTGACTCTCCTATCCCCCAAACACCGTCTCTAGTGTATTATTCTGATCTACTGGGCTCCTCTTGTTTCTGCAGCATTAGGTTGTCATCCCACAAACCACTCAGCAGTTTCCAGACCTGGATCTCTTCTGTCACAGCTAGTGCTTGCCAGGGGCTGCAGCTCACCTCCAGTTTAGGGAAGATATCTTTCCATATTTTTATTCCTTGATCTCCAGTCCCATTTGTTGTAGCTTTTTTTTCCCCCCTCAACATATTGGTTGAACTTCTATTATGTGCCACACATTGTGCTTGTGTGCTTGGAGAAAAAGAGAAGCTGTGGCTCCTGCCCTCCGAGTGATACTAAGGTAAATGTATTGCTTAGGATTAGGTTCAGCTGTGATAATTAGAAAAAAAAATCTCCTAAACAATTTACATTGATTTCTCCCTCATGAATTTTGGGATCAGTAATGTAGAGATGGATGCGCTTTTTGTTTCATAAGGTTTGAGGCTTCAGAACCTTTTTGTCATATGCTCGGTCATCTATAAGGGGTGGCCCATGGTGTGAGACGATGAGCTGTCCTATTTGTATTTTAAGCCGGGAATGGACAAGGGGAAGACAGGCCTCTCCTTTCCTGACTCTCCATGCCTACATAACCAAATTGCTTCTTAGATTCATCTGTATTCCCATACACAACCATAGGAGAGGCTGGAATTGGCATCATTATTCTGGGAAACTATGTGCATGGCAAATTAGCAGGAGCCCTATTAGTACTGGAGAAAGGAATAATGGAGTTTAAGGAGAGAGTTAATAGTGTTTCCTGGTAACCATCTCAAACTAGGAAGACGGCAGACAAGACAATGATGATACTCTACTGTTTTTCATCATTGTAATTATCTCCACTAAATCTAAGCTTGAGGAGAAATGTGTCATATCTGTTCTGTTCTCTTCTTGGTCCCCATGTTGGGCACATAGTAGATTTGTGAAACTGAAATAATCCTGAGGAAAGAGATATAGGTGAGTGATGGGGGTTAATTGAATTATGCATAGTGATGACTTAATTCAACTTACGAATACAGAAGAAGAAAAGCCTTGGGGAACCTTAAAAGGTGGGAGGCCTGGGAGAGCATGGGATTTCCGAGGCAATGCAGACAGAGTGAGCATCCAGAAGCAGGGAGAGGTTAGCTACATTAAATACCCAGAGAATTCCCCACGAGTATTAGTAGGATGGCCAGGGATGTCCTTACTGAGCACAGACTTCCTGGAGTGATGGAAATAGGGGAGAGGAAGGAGCAGCCATGGGGGAATGAAGTGGATCCAAAGAAAGGAAAAAGAATTTCTGGATCCCAAGATAGAGGTGTGAGTATTTAGTGGAGAAGAGTTATGGCCTCTGTTACTTATTCCCCCAAATAATAATCAGAATAAGAATGTAAGTAGAAAAACTTCCATATCTGTTTAGAAAAAGAATGCAAATATCACAAAATATCACCACAGGTTAAATTTAAGTGAAAGGTATGTCAGATTTCTTAAGCTTCCTCTGTAATTCAGATTTGTTTTTAATATGTAGACTTTTTGAATATGTAGATTTTAGAGCAAGAATATGTAAACAACATTAAGTAGAAATCTCAAATATAAGTTGTTTTTTTTTTAAGATTTATTTATTTATTTATTTATTTATTTGACAGACAGATCACAAGCAGGCAGAGAGGCAGGCAGAGGGAGAAGGAGGGGAAGCAGGCTCTCTGCTGAGCAGAGCCCCGATGCGGGGCTCAATCCCAGGACCCTGGGATCATGACCTGGACTAAGGCAGAGGCTTTAACCCACTGAGCCACCCAGGCGCCCCACAAATATAAGGTTTTATATCTTCTATATTTAGATCTATCAATTGCGTTCCTCTTCTCAGTTCCTATTTTTATCTCAGAAATTAAAGTTTTAAGCCCAAACCTAAAGTGCCTCTAAAAGAATGTTTAGAAATGAACATACCTGCATCTTAGCACTGCTGGTCTGTTCACGAATGAGCTTTCAGCTGTCTCTGAACTCACCCTTGTTCTGTTTCCTCCTCCCGCAGAAGCAGAGAACAGATTTTGAAAGTTGAGAAAGGAAAAGGAAGATGAAATGGAATCTGAAAGTAAAACTACTTTAACTATTGGTTACATATTGAGAGAAGGCATGCCAGAACTGAGTCACCAGAGCTTGAGGAAGTAGAGGAGGGAGGGAACTCAGAGAATATTAGTCACTCTGTACTTAGGCCTTACTAAATGTCACCCTAACTAGCTTTCTTTGTTTTGTCCCCAACTTATCTGTCCACAAATGGACTATTACCAGAGGCCAAGGGCATAAGTGAGTCTGGCTCCAGGATTCCTGAGCAGACCAGGTTCGGCCACTTGCCATTGACAAAACCCAAAAGCAGAGAGACCAGTGATGGTGCAACAAGAAAGAGATTTATTCCAGGGAAGCCAAGGGGAGGCAGAGGACTAGTGTCCAAAGTCTGTCTCCAAAGTCTAGAAAACTTCCAGGTTTGTATAAGGAAAATGTGGGACAGAGGTCAGTGGGTACATGCAGGTGGGCAGTCAAGGTCAGGTCATTGTCTTGGGGTCAATCACGCAGGGTCTTGTTGGTCTTAAGGGAACTTAATCAGTTAGAAAGTACAGACTGGTGTCCAAATGTAGGTAGTTTGGGTAACTCCCTAAACTGGGTCCTTTTTCAGGACTATGATGTAAGTAAGGTATACATTCTGTTGTACTTTTATGTATTCGAATTCATGGAGCTTCTTGAATGAGTCGATTAATATTTTTCACAAATCATGCATGTTTCTGGTTATTTTTTCTTATGTTTTATGTCATACTTCCTACCTTGAGTCAATAGATACATATCCTTTGTTGACACCTGGTTTCAGAAGGCATTATTCCTGCATACACAAGGCCTCATTCATATTCAGCTAGGTGAATGTAGGAAAAGAGTGAAGCAAGGAAAGTAAGTAAACAGATCTGAGGATGTGTTATGGAGCCACTCTGAGTCCCTGGGGCTCAGTCCTGCCAGGGTACTGTAAGTGGAATTCAAGGAGTATTAGAGAATGCCTCAATGCACAATGTGTCTGATGAAGGGAAAGCCATCAGTGTAATAGAGGTTGGTGATAAGGGACTTAAGCCACCTGCTTATGTAACTTTGTTTTGTCCTGTAGCCACCCAAATAAACTTGAGATTTGGAAGGTCTAACCATGTGTAGCTCATGATGAAAAGTTCTACTCTTGTAGTGACTTGATATATTGAAGTCAGGAGCTCAGTCTCAACAACAACCCCAAAGTAGCTTTGCAAATAGCGAGTAACCTTCTGATGCATAAGCTTTGACCTTGTCCTGAGACAATAATAGCTCTGCTAAGACTGTTAGGATTGCAAGATACCTCTCCTTCCTCATTCTCCCTTTGTCACCACCATGTCTCCCCTGGCCACATCAAGGTAACCACTGTCCTGCTTTGGCCCTTGATATAGCTGGATCCTTAAAGTGTGTATTCTGTAATATCTGATGTCTTGTACTCAATACTATGCATGTGAGATTTATCCATATTTCTGTGTATAGCTATAGATTGTTTATGTTCTATGATGTATAGTAGTCAATAGGATATTCTAGAACTTGTTTATCCAATCATTTATTGACAGACTATTTAACAGTTTCTCATTTCTTGGCTGTTATGAAAAAGGCTGCTATAAACATTCTTGCATGCATCTTCTAGATCACATATCTGCACAATCTCCTTGTGTCTATACCTACGAGTGGATTGTTGAAATGCATATGTTCTGCTCACAGATTTGACAGTGTCCAACAGTCTCATAGTTGTACGAGTTTATGTTTGCACCAACACTGTAGAGCATTCCAGGTGCTGTTCAAGCTCATGAGACCTCAGTAAGGTCTGCCTCTGCTTCATCTGGTAGATGAGTAGTAGTGGTTTGCATTGTGGTTTTAATAACTCATGAAATGAGGTGTCTTTTCTTATGTTTTTAGCTTTTGGGATAGTCACTTTTGTTATTTTTTTGTAACAAAAAACATTGCCTTTTTAAAATATTATGCATGTTTTCAATTGTTTGTGTTTCTATTTGATCTTTGTGTCACTGTGTGTGTGTTGTATTCTTGAATAGCTACTTAGAGTAGATATAATATTTGTATTTCACAACTGAAACACTTTAGGCAGTTTAGAATTCTTTGTTTTTTTTCTGGGACTGTTTTCTAGGTTTGGTAGCATAATTATCTCTAGCTCATCATCCAGGGAATATCTCAGTTTCAATCTCATGCAAGGAACTTGTAGGCAAGACACTTTTTTGACACATGAGACAAAATAACAAACATGAATCTGTCTGAGATTATGAAAGGATCTCCCTTCTCCTTCCTGAGACCACACTTTCAGACCTCTCCTTCACAAACTAGGTTGTGATGGACTTATTTACTCTAGTAAGGACACCTATTATGCCAGAATCTCATTTATCACTCAAACATATCTCAAGGTGCCTGCCCTCCCAAAAGGGAAGAAGATCAGGGACTGATTCTCACTGCATTAATGTAATACTTGTAATATTTGAGTGGTTTTCCAGGGCTATCTGAGACCATGCTCAATCACTTTGTTTCCTTATGGCATAATTTTTACGGTTATTGTGGAGGTGATCTTTTACCTTTGGAGTATAACACATCAGATAAAGAGCTGGATATAGCTTCTCTTATAATTCCCTCTCCCAAATGCAAGACTATCCCAAAAGCAGGTATAAGTGTAATGGGCTTTACTGAATAGGGGTAGGGGATATCATTTTTTTACGATTTTGTCTTAATTCCACCTAGTTAACATACAGTGTTATATTCGTCTCAGGTATACACTATAGTGATTCAACACTTCTGTACATCACCAGTGCTCATGATGATAAGTACACTCCTTAATCCCCCTCACTTACTTAACCCAGCCTCCCACCTGCCTCCCTTCTAGTAACCATCAGTTTGTTCTCTCTAATCAAAAGTCTGTTTCTTGGTTTGTCTCTCCCTTTTTTCCCTTTGATTATTTGTTTTGTTTCCTAAATTCCACATATGAGCAAAATCATATGATATTTGTCTTTCCCTGACTGACTTATTTCGCTTAGCATAATATTCTCTAGTTCCATCCACATCATTGCAAATGGCAAGATTTCATTCTTTTTGATAGCTGAATAATATTCCATTGTGTATATGTATACCACATCTTTTTTATCCATTCATCAATCAGTGGAAACTTGGGCTCCTTCTATATGTTGGCTATTGTAAATAATGCTGCAATAAGCATAGGAGTGCATGTATCCCTTTGGATTAGTGGTTTTGTATTTTGGGGGGTAAATATCAGTAGCTTGAGTGCTGGATCATAAGGTAGTTCTATTTTTAATTTTTTGAGGAATCTTCATACTGTTTTCCTGAGTGACTACACCAATTTGCATTCCCATCAACAAGAGGGTTCCTTTTTTTCCATATCCTGGCCAGCAACTATTGTTTCTGGTGTGTTTTTAATTTTAGCCATTCTGATATCTCATTGTAGTATTTTTTACAAAGATTTATTTTTTTTTTAAATTTTATTTTAGTTTTTCCGTGTTCCAAGATTCATTGTTTACGCACCACACCCAGTGCTCCATGCAGTATGTGCCCTCCTTAATACCCACCACCAGGCTCACCCAACCCCCCATCTCCCTGCCCTCCAAAACCCTCAGTTTGTTTCTCCGAGTCCATAGTCTCTCATGCTTCGTGTCCCCCCCTCCAATTTTTCCCAACTCATTTCTCCTCTCCATCTCCCAATGTCCTCTTTGTTATTCCTTATGCTCCACAACTAAGTGAAACCATATGATAATTGACTCTCTCTGCTTGACTTATTTCACTCAGCATAATCTCCAGACCTGTCCATGTTGATACAAAAGTTGGGTATTCATCCTTTCTGATGGAGGCATAATATTCCATTGTATATATGGACCATATCTTTTTTATCCATTCGTCTGTTGAAGGGCATCTTGGCTCTTTCCACAGTTTTATTTATTTATTTATTTATTTGAGAGAGAGAGCACGAGCAGGGGGAGGGGCAGAGGGAGAGGGAGCAAGAGAATCCTCAAGCAGACTCCCCTGCGAGTGCAGAGACTAGTGGGGGCTCCATCCCAAGACTCAAAGATCATGACCTAAGCCAAAATCAAGAGTTGGAGGCTTAACCAACTGAGCCACCCAGGCTCCCCTCTCATTGTAGTTTTGATTTTTATTTTCCTGATGGTCAGTAATGATGAACATCTTTTCATGTGTCTGTTGTCCATCAGAATGTCTTCTTTGGAGAAATGTTCTGTTCACGTCTTTTTAAATTGGATTAGTTTTTTTGGATGTTGAGTTTTATAAGTTCTTTATATATTTTGGGGCAATGGTATTAGCAAAATTTTCATTGGGTGTCTAGTCCAGTATTGGATTCCCAGAAGCACTGCCTTGGCTGGGGACTGCCTGCCAGGGTCCCAGGAGGAGGTTGGGTGCAGCACACAACCATGGCTGCCCACCCCCCAGCTGGGGGTGGTGTGGCAGCTGTGCAAGTTTGGACATAGTCTGCAACAGTGGATGGGGTACATGGTTGGGCACTGTAGGTGGGGGCAGCTGAGCATGCAGCAGCTGGGCAGGGATGCCGCTTTCACAGAATTTGCCCTGAGCACTGGGTGGAGGCTCAAGGTGTTGGTGCAGCCCTGCCTCTGGCAAATGGCTGTGTTTATGCTGGAAGACAGGGGAGGAAAATGGCATCTGAGGGCTCCCTCATTTTCTGAGAAGTCCCCCAACACGTTCTAAAATTAGAACAGATCTGTTTCCCCTTTGCGGTAGGGTTGTGTAAATTGCTGATCTTAGGTTGCTTCCCTGCACAGGCCACTGTTTCTTTTAGGGCTGCAGCAACCTGGTTATTAGTTCCCCCTCCAGACTCCTTCTGAGCTGAGTTAGCTGACTTTTAAAACTCCAGGCTCCAGGCCCACTGGTTTTACAAACTCACGGAATTTAGCCCCTCTAGTTTTTAAAGCAATACATTATGGGGATTAGTCTTCCCCTTGTGATCTCCCAAGTGCAAGGGCTCATTTCTCTGCCTTCTCA